GACATTAAATTTTGTAAATAATTTTAATTAAGATGTCGTTTAAATCTTGCTATTAAATTTAAATGCGTTTTTTATTTTAAATATTTAATTATATTTTCTTTTTGTATCTTTTATTACTTTTTTTATATTAATTGTAAATTTTATACTTCTTGCAATGAATATTTTATTTTTGCGAAAAAGGCGAGGAATCTATAATACGGATATAGGAGAGATGAAATATGCCGCCATAAAATGTAGGTACCGATAATCGTTCATAGGATGGATATTACGCGGCATATAACATGGAAATTATTCGCCATTTTTGTTTAAATAAACCGCGAACATCGACAAAATTTTCGCGAAATGTTAGAAAAATTCATAGAATATATAATATTGCAATGTACATATATATAAGTAAATCAATCTATATTTCATCTGGTCAGTTTATTTACAAATTCTCTTTGCAAAGTGTCGCCACGTGCCTCTTTATTCAATTAATTTGTCAACAATTTATCAGAATTGTTAGATATCAAATCGAAAGCTGTCGTTTTGAATATTCTCTCGACACACAGGAATAATAAGAATCGCCGGGGTGTTAATGAATTCACGGCACTTTCAATTCTGTATATGGACGTTCATCGATCTCTCGTGTTTGGCGCACGCATCGCGTGCTTACATGCATGTGATGATTGAACTGGCCCTAGCCATTGTTTACAATGATGTACAGGCGTGGCCGAGCAGTCCGCAATTTTGTGTCCGTGTGATGCATATCTGAACATACTTTGCGCATGAGAAATGGAAAACGGATGCTCGGGATTTAGTCGAATTTTATACGGTTTATATTTTATCATTCGCTAAACAATAATAAAACGCTGCCGGATAAAAATTTTTTCTTATTCGTTTTTGGACTCGAATAGAACATTTGATTTTTTTCTATGCAAAGCTATTTAACAATTGTTCGGTGAAACATTGTTCGCCAATATACGTATCAAGCATCATCGTTTTGCGTTTTATTTAATGTAACGATTCGCGGTGCTGCAAATATTTCTGGTTGAATATTCGATCCAATTAACAAATTGCCACCGACTGCCCAAATTATCTCAGCTATTTAATTAACCGCTTGTCTTCAGCGATCGGGAATTAGTATTAGTTGTCTAACGAGGGATTTAATCAGGTCATTAGCGCGTTTGTTCGGGAGAATTTGCGCAATTTTAAAGCCGTTGCGTGAAGCTAATTTGACGTTGTGGTGATCGTTAATAATATTCGCTGGTATCCATAGCGTGCTTTGACATGATTATATCGAGCATGGGGGCGTCTTGGCGCTTGTCATAAACGTTACTTCACATTTAGTGACAGTTATCGGTTAGACTCCACGATACACGATGCTGCTACGTATCATACCGGAAATAAAGCGATACGAACTAATGAGAACATTTGCGACAACATATGAGACATTTATTGAAATTACAATCTCTTACAAGTGTGAGACTGCGACTTTGACTGTCTTTTGTTATATTTTTATATGAAATTTTAAATTAAAATTTTATATTAAACTCACATATTAATAAAGAATATATGAGTAATATATGTAATATATTTTAAAGAGTTGAGATTCAAATAATAAAAATGCATTTTGCTTTTTCGAAAAATATTACATGAGCAATAAAAAACGATTAAGCTTTTATTTTTTTTTTCTATGGGTAATAATATTTGTACACGAAAAATTGTATACAGAAAAATGTTTTATATGAATTGTTATCTAACAATGCGACTTATTATCTGTGTTTCAGGTGGTGTTAGTTTTCATTCTCAGTATAGCGTCGCTTATAATATACTTCATCGATGCCTCCAGGTGAGTAATAAGACTTCGATGGCGGACTTTATGCGTCGCTTTCAAGTTTATTACAAACATTTATGCATATTGTTTTTATTCTCGCGCAGTATTGATAATATTATAACAACACTTTGTAGCTTTTTCTTGCGGTTTAATTAAGGGCGCGGCGATAATCGCTGCTATTTTAGTCGCCCTTTCAGTGTTGCTTTTTTTAAGACCAAGACCTTCGTGTGAGTTCATAAGAGATGCTGACCTAACATCCGCAATCTCATGCTTTTATGTTACAGCGAAGTGGTGGAGCGTTGCCAGAAGTGGAGCAACAACATTACTCAGCAGATAGACTTAGCTTTCAATATATTTTTTATGGTCTACTTTTTTATACGCGTAAGTAAGATTATCTATTCCGTCTGTCAATCAATCCTTCAGTTCACATTGAAACTTAAGTGGAATGCAAATTCTATATAAATTCTATATAAATACAACTATTATACTATGAAATAGAATGTTTTTTGGCCTTTATTTCGATAAATTTCTTAAGAAGAAAACTTTATAAGAATTTTATAAGAATATTTGGAAAAATATTGCAGATTTACGAAGTGTATTTTATGCGAAACTTTTTTACTTGCTCTTAAAATCTTTTTGGATAATTTTTCCTGAAATATTCGCTTGGCACATTTTTTTACTCAGACACTTATCTAAATTTGTTTCTTCTTCATGCTATTCTTATAGTTTATCGCCGCCAGTGACAAGCTGTGGTTCATGCTGGAGATGTATTCGTTCGTGGACTACTTTACGATACCACCGTCCTTCGTATCGATATATCTCGATCGGACGTGGATCGGACTGAGGTTCCTCCGAGCCCTACGACTGATGACGGTCCCTGACATCCTCCAGTACCTTAACATTCTAAAGACATCGAGCTCTATTCGTCTCGCCCAACTTGTATCCATCTTCATCTCCGTCTGGTTAACTGCTGCTGGCATCATTCATTTGGTAAGATATCTTATTTTTGGTAAGATGTCTTCTCTTTTTGTGCTTAAAAAGCAATTCTCAGCAGATATTATAATGCTTACTTAGTAATTACTATAACAGAAATACTTTAAAATTATAGATAGTGTTCTATCATGCAAAAATACAATGCATAAGGGAATTGCGTGAGAAATCCAGAAATAATTTTTTAACAAATAAGACAACATCTAAAGATAATTAATTATTTTAAAAAAATTATTTGCTTTGATTAAAAAAATAAAGCTTTTTAATGAATTAGAAGTAGGAATGTGAGTATTTAATTATTCTATCATATGAATAACAAATGATTACGTTAATAATAGCCATAATTTAATATATACTCTTTCAGTAAGAATATATCATGAAATTATGATAAAATAGCAATATTTTATCATTTTTTTCTTATTTTTTAAATAATTTATTCGGTTTATTTGGTTTAAAATTATATTCTCAACAAGGAGAATATAATTTTATATTATTATTCAATAATATATTTCTTTTTATGACTTTCACACATCTCTCAGATATTCTATGTGCAGAAATCCGAGAGACACGTTTCTCGGACGTTCCGCATTATACCATTGTGCGATAGTAAAAGCTTATGTTTATGACCCGCCAATATAAACCACAATTTCACTCTTGACACTACGCGAGAATGGTTCTGAACATAATAACATCGTGCCCGCAGCTTGAAAACTCAGGGGACCCTTTCGAGTTCACGAACCCACAACAGCTTTCGTACTGGACCTGCGTGTACTTTCTGATCGTGACGATGTCCACGGTAGGATATGGTGACGTTTTCTGCCAGACGGTCCTCGGCCGCACATTCCTAGTATTTTTTCTACTCGTCGGTTTGGTAAGTTATCTTTGTGTATTCTTTTCAAGCGTAATCAATTTAACATTTATCTACGTCGGGACTAATCCCGCATACAATAAATTCTTTAACTAGCGCGATTCTCAAGAACGTGCTCTGATTTTTTAATTACTGTCGATGGGTGAATTTTTCATTTGATTGTTCCATGGATAAACACAGTAGCTTTTTATAAAAAAAATAACATTTTTTTGTGAATATATATAATTAAATTTTTGCAACATATTTTTTCGAATGATGATTTCAACTTAAAAAATGCAGAGTTTAATATAATTTTGTGTAAATAAGTGAATAATAAATTTTTATTCTTGTAAGAACGTCATTTACTGTGTTTCTCTAGTGATCTCTCTTTTTGCTAAAAATATACGTACGAACTTTGCAAAACTGTGAAACAAATTGTTTTTTTTCTTTTTTTTTCTTTCATCAGATTAGTTCTTTCAAATACAAGGAGATGTAAAGAAAAGTCTAAAATTCGAAACAAAGCTCTTTTGTCGTGAAGTATTAATCCTTTTTTTCTCTGTTGCTTTTTATTGATCTTGCGATCTTTTATCGTGCATCAAAAGAGAACGTTTCGCTTGTCTTTGCCGAATCTCGTGCATATCTTCCTTTCTTATTCTCAAAGTATCGTCGCGAAGGCATTCCACTTGCTGCTGGGTGTATCGCTAACTGCTCGTTTTGTCAAACTGAAATCACTAGTTTTTGCCAAGGCTCGTACATCAGAGCGGAACGATCGGAGAGACGAGCGGCGGTCTCAGATTTGCGCGTTCCCTAAGCCGCGAGACAGCGAATATTTCGAGTGTACGATGTTCTCCGGCCGTTGATCTTCCTACATTGCGAAGATGCCGAGAATGCTCCACGACAGAATGCTCCAGTTTCATTAGAAAGTTGCTTATAATTAGTTTAGCTTATAATAAAATTTTTTACAATACAAAATTTGCGACATTTTAAATGTAGTATTAAAAAATATTAGAGATATGTAAAATTTTCAGTGGAATTCTCGAATTCTCTCTTGATTGTTAACGCTACGGCATTTTTAGATTAATGAAATTTTATACATCTCTCGAGAACTTTTGAGAAAGTTTCGAACACTGAGCACCGATGGCGTTGCAAATAGGCTTCATTTTAACAGTAAACAGTAATATAACTTTACTGATTTATGTTTTCAAGAGATAAAGGTCGTATGACACAAGTATGTTTTATGAATAGCTATATTTAAGGCTTTTATTACGAATTTATCCCATTTCTTGAACTTTCTGGCTTCGCAACTCGAGACAAAGGAAAACGTGGTCTAGTGTACTATTGAAATAATACTTCCGCCAATGTCACGCGAAAATGGCTTTTTGGGGCAGAAATCAACGGCGGAGAATGGTGCCGCTCGTTATATCGAATCGATCGATTTGTTTGAACGCCGATGCGCACATTCCATGAGCATATCTGTGTTCCTATTATGCATACGTTATTTGTGTGTGTACGGCTTATCGATCGTTCACGTGAACTTTGCGTACACGGTCGACTTGCTTTGGGGATAACAGCCCGCTCTTGGAGCTTTCTTGAAGACGCGGCTCGTATTCCTCTTTTCTAAACACACAGGCATCGCCGTTCAAACGTCGGAAACGCGTCCAAGCTAACGTTTGTTATCCGCAGTTCACCGTAGAATATTCATAGATAATATTGATTATCGAAATGAAGGGAGCATAACCTGAAAGCATGGTGTATTCGCGACATACGTAAAGTTTCTGATACAAAATTGGCTTGCTCGCGCATAAGGGCTTAAATCGTTTCCACATGGAATGAGCTTCTTTTACTTTTCACAAAAACGATTCGGCTAATTTCGTACATTATAAATGTATAAAATATATATAATTGTGTTTTAGTTACTTTATGTTTTTGAGTATAAAAATATGACAGCTATATATTTTGTTCTTTCGCTTGTGGTCAACATCTAAATAGGCATGCTTTATCAATGTGCCGTAAGGATTAATGTAAAAAATCTGTCGCGAATTAAGCCTTTATTGCGATATAACGATAAACGGTAGAGATTAATTTAAGTAACTCGGCAGCTTTATTTCTTTTCTGAACATTGCTCAAAATCTATTTGAAACGTGCTCCTTAACTTCCTGTAACTCGTATGTATGTAAAAAGCAAAAATTTTCATTGTCATGCGAAGCAGTTTGCGGTAACTTGGACTAACCGCACTGCTTCAAAATTTTAGCTACGACAATAGAGACGAGAAGACAAACCTCTGCCTTATACCTCTATACCCTTATTATACATCATATAATTATTAAAACTGTATTGTGATAAGAGGAAACTTGTCTTTTAACCACATAAAATAATAAGGTTAATTATACAGATACGTTAATTATAAAGATCTAAACAATCTTACGACTATTTTAAATAATATAAATTTAATTTCTTAGAAAGAAAGAGACACATTTCATAATGCTATCAAAATATTACAAGATTAAATTTTATCACTGTTGTAATAAAAAGATTGCATTTTACATTTAATACTTCTTTTTCCAGCAACTTGTGTAGCAAGCAAGTTTAAAGTAACAGAAAAAGTATTTATCTTCAACATTCAATATAATTCTGTTTGTGATTCTAGTTTAATTTAAATTTTCTCAACAAAACTTTCTCAAATATATTCTGAATTGCCAATAGAATATTGAAAATTACTAAAAAGTGAAATATTATTGTACAAGAATCACGAAGATATCGATAGCGATTTTATTTTGTATCTATTCACTCATATTTTATAAGTGAAAGAAAAAAATGCTTTTTAATAAAGCAAATCAGAATTATAGAGACCATTTTAAAAGATATCTTTCAGATATCAGGAATTTAAAAAGATAAAATTATTTAAATTGTCTTTGTATGTCTATCTGCATTATAGACATCGAGAGATCTTTTAAAAACTATTCTAACAATTCAATAATTGCAAAAGACATAATAGCGATGTAACAGTAGATTAGAGCGTCCTGTTGAAGCGATAATTTCTTTCAATATTTCTCAAATTTTGACCTAAAAGTTTAAATTTTTGTTATAAATTTCAATCAAGATGTACAATTAATAAATAGATGTAGTTTTCAAAATCGGAGTTAAGGCAGTTAGCATAGTAAATATTTTGCTTATCGAATCGTATTTCGCATCAGATCAATTTGTTATAATTGCGAGCGCTCGAACCTCCTGATTTCAATTTATGTGAGGTGGCTAAAAAAGAAATTGCGGTCATGTTTATTTATACGACACATCGTAGTTATTGAAAACATATATTACTATTTCTCTTTTTTTTCTCTTTCTCTCTTTCTTTTTCTTTCTGTACTTTACGGCTTAAATTGGTTCTACGAGTTTTGCTACAGCTACTGTCTATCTTTTCTCTACGATCAAAGAATCACTTGTAGCTAATAATGTGGCGAATTGATTACTTGAGTACGATCGATTCAGCTTGTCATGCGAATGCTGCGGTATATGCTACGAACTCACTATTTCATAATGTTAGCGAGTATCGAAAGGGCTTTTATTACATGAAAAACCTCAAAACTTGATGCTATGGAATTATGTAAATGTTTGTCCTATGCTACTGAAACATGTAGAGAAATCATAATTTTAATAAAAGAAAAATTATTTAAAAAAACCATATAACCATATATTATTTTAAGTTTCTATTTCTAAACTTTTCTTATAATTATTTTCTTGATTGATGAGAAAATTAAAAATTATTTTGTAATTATAAATGATAATTAAGAAAATCAGTAAAATAATTATTTTGTGTGTGTGTGTGTGTGTGTGTGTGTGTGTGTGTGTGTGTGTGTGTGTGTGTGTGTGTGTGTGTATATATAG